TAATATTAAAACCTCGCATAGGTACTTTTCGTTGATGAACGTTCACCAACCGCTTATGGAATTCATCTGTCCCGCTCTACCTCGGGCCTCAATAGAAGCCCTGGCAGCCGTCACTGCTAGTATTATATGCAGATTATATGATTAGAACGGCATTCACTATGTAGACTACGAAACATGCTCTGTCATGGAAACTTACAGCCAAATTAAAAACTTTCACAGGCATTGGTTAAGTAACCCTTGCTTTTATAGAAAGGAGTAGTGACAAAAATGAGGGAATCTGGGTTCTCTGCTTCTGGCTTATGGACCTTCGTCAGCCAACCTTACTGAATTCCAGACTTAAATAAACAAACAGTCGCAGTTATCCAGCATCGGGCACAAATACATGTGCCGGTCTTGCCGCAGGAATGCTGTCGATTGGAAAGTATCTCAAAAATAATCCTGAAAGCCACTGGGGATATCTTTGTCCTAATTATACTGATCAGGTAGCTCGCACACCACGGTCGTGAACTGCGGGTCAAACTGAGCCTCCTAGATGTGATTGTTCAGACCAAAGCAGCTCCAAACAACTTCAAAACTTACCGGTTTTTCTGTAATAAGTTCTGCAGTAAGAGGACAGATTAAGCCGGAAATGGTGCCGATCCCGTTTGAGAGACCCATCAGGATGCTCGCGTACCGCGGAGCGATATCCAGATGGTTCACATTGTAGCCTAGAGGGTGAAAAAGCAAGCAGTTGTTCAAGGCTTCAAGAGTATCGAAGTGGGATAGACATGAGCAGGTAGTCCAAGACAAGAGACTACGGAAAGACGATGACATAACCAGTTGAACGGTCGTTCCTCTGGCGTGAGGAATATTAATTTACTAAGTCCCCACATCCTGAATTGTATCAAAAGGGCGATGACAAACAAATAAAGCACCGAATAGTCAAACATATCGATAAAGAAAAGATCGGCAAGCATGGACTGCCATTTACATTTCTGATGATTATTTTTCGGAACAGATTTGAGTAAAGAAGAAGGGCTAGACTTCATTCCCTTTATTTACATGTTTACATGTTTATCTGTCTTCAAATACACGAGTGTTATGTTCCCATTCATGAATTCATATTAAGCCAGGCTGTGCAGATAGTAGCCTTTTTCGAATATACTTGTTGGTGGACATGGTTACGGAACGAAGAACGTCAGAATGAGAGCCTCTAGTGTTTTCATTTCGAAATCTACCGGTAGGTACATGACTGCCGAAGACATTTGCTGTTAAAAGAACTTGATCCACTTGTTTGATTAATTCATAGTAGAGCATTCACGACCACTGTTAGAAAAATGCAATATAGTAGGCAAATTTCTCTTTACAAATGTGCACATGTTCGAACCAAAAGAGGTCGATGCCTTTGATGTTAGATTTGCCTCAACACTAAGGGCGACGTAGAAATTTGAGGTTAGTTAAATGAAAACCACAAAGTGTGTAAGGAAGACTTTGGACGTAAAAAACGGTCGTTGTCTGATCAACATTATGCTGATTATTTTTGACGTGCCTGTGCTGCCGGTTTCCATCACACTGAAGATACTAAGTGAGCAGACTGCTAGCCATAGTTATGCATTTAGGTCAGGCAAGAGAAAACCTTGTCGTAAATCACAACGTACGTAGGTGATGGCTTCTGAGTTGGATCATGTTACTGTTAGTTCTAAAAAGCCTCTGAGCTGTTAATGACTTGTTCACTAGTGATCTAGTTACCCATAAATTAGACAATGGCTAATAAGCCTTCTGATATATCTGCAAAAGAACTCAGATACTATAAATAGTATTCAGGAAATGGAGCTACTCCTAAGTGATCTCATTAACTAAAAAGCCCAGAGAGTTTGACGTCTATAATGGTAAAGCAACATCTTATAAACACTACCTCCTGGCAATTCTTCGTACGCAACCCAATTCAACAGAGTTCCATTGCTAAGAACTTCCGCAGCAAACGATAGTACGATAGAAACGAAACAGCAGAAAATCCGAAACGTTTTCTAAACCATTCTGAGTATCTCGACTTTGAAATGTATTATTACGCAGAACTAGGCTTCATTGCCTCGCGCACATATATCGAGAGACACTAGCACAGTTGATGTTCTGTGTGGGATGATGGACTTGATTTTACTTTACATACTGGCCACAGCGCAATTAAGATCTCGAATATTCAAGGAATCATTCTTCCCTTTGACGTATATTTATCCTCCGCGTGTCTGTCAGATGCCAGTGTCATGGTTGTGAACGATAGAGAGGAAGGACGGAGGAGGAATACGCAGGCAATCGCTTCACTTCTTGCTATCTTCAGTTAGTCTCAGTCTTTTCATTAGCAATGCAGTGAATCCGGTGACCGGGCTGGCTGAACAGTAAACACCCTCAACCGTCGTGGAGTCATCCTGGCTCACGACGCACCATTATTGAGCTGCGCAGATTCCACACCAGTCTATGACTACGGTTATTACTTGGAGGGATGTGGTTGCACACAGGCCACTATGTTACATCAGTCACGGTGCGCAACCCCAACCCCAGCTGATTCGTAAAGTCGATTGGTATACACCAAAAGAAGCCTATATGCGAGTTCCATGAAGCAGTTCAGAAGAAGAAGACGCAGACAAGACAAGAAACCACATCTAGCCGGCCCAAAAGTTTGGCATGCCCTTCCGTACGTGAAGAATATATCGGGAGCAGTCAGGCACCTGTTCACCCCCCTTGGCTTTGGAGTTGTGCACAGGCCAGAAGCAACCATCAGGCGCCGGGTCATGGGACCAAAAGA